GAGTGCTTTGTGTGGGAGCTGCAGCCTGGGCCCGTGGAAGGGGCGGGGTCGAGAGGCCCTGTGCTGCCCCCGCGGGCCAGATGCCTGTCTGTCCAACGCTGACCCTGTGACATTTGTCCTACCCCTTTGCCCTTTAGGAAGTCCTTGTTTGCCCCTTCACACGGCCTCCCATGGCCTTCCCTCATTTGGTCCATTCTAACTGTCCAGCCTGTGTTAGTCAGGGTTCTCCTGAGAAACAGAACCGATGGGAGACGCACGCACGCACACACATACGCACGCACGCACGCACACACACTCCACAGAGTGGAAGGGGCTGAGAGGAAGGTCAAGGAGGCCCACACTGCCCTCTGTCAGCTGGGGACACAGGGGAGCCAGGGGGGCAAATCCCAGTCCCAGGGCAGGCGATGAGATGAGGCCCAGTTCCAGCCCAAAGAGCCAGGCAGGAAAAGGGGGGCAGGTTTCTCCTTCCTCTGCCTTTTGTTCCATTCAAGCCCTAATGAAACAAAAGGAAGCCCACCCAAAGGGGAGGTCGCTTCCTTTACTGAGGCCTCCTATTCGAATGCTAATCTCATCTGGAAATGCCCTCCCAGACCCACCCAGCAGTACTGTTAGTCTGGGAGTCCCCCAACCAGTCAGGCCGGCCCAGAAGGAGCCCGTGCAGCCTCCTGCGCTTGGCTGGGTTCAGAGGCACCTACCTGTTCCCTAACCCAGCACACCCAGCACGGGTCAGCCCCTCACCTTCATCCCTGCTCGGCGCCTCCTGACGGTCCTCATCTGTGTCTACCCCGTTCATCCAAATTCTAACCGAAAGGGGCCCAGATTCTTTTCGGAGGTATTTATTCAGATGGCCCAGGTTTTAAATAGGGGATACATTAAGACGGTCCCTTAATATTTCTCCACTTGTTTAATGTAAGTGAGGACCTTTGTCCTAGCTGGGCTTTGAGTTTCTCAACACTCGAGAATATGTTGATTTGCACCTTCTATGTGCTTCAGGACTTGAGTGTCTGGCACATGGTTCTTGACAACATGAAGGACTAAGCCCAGAGGTCCAAACACCTGTGCCTAGACCAGGCCGAGGTGGACTGTCCTGTGGCGAGCAGCGCTGCGGTCCAGGTGCGGTGCCCTGTGCCCGCCATGCCCCGGCCAGGCTGCCAGCCCACGCGTGGCCCTGTCTCGGGTCTGGCCTCATCCCTGGGTTAGGTGGGATCACGGCCCGGCTGGCTTCGTAGGGGAAGGGCGACCTGTGGGTTGTCGGTGTTAAGTGTGTGGACTTTTCACAGCAGGTGACCCGACAGTGTTTACCTGGAAGTACGGTGGCACCACCCGGTAGAGAGGAAGTGGGAATCGGAGCCTGTCCTGTTTTTTTTTTTTATCCTCACTCGAAGACATTTTTCCATTTTTTTGTTCAGATAGAGTGGGAGGGAGAGAGAGGGACAGAGAGAGAGAGAGAAACATCGATGTGAGAGAGACACATCGAGTGGTTGCCACCCACACGACCCCAAACGGCGCCGGGGACAAACTGCAACCGAGGTACAAGCCCTTAGCGGAACCGAAACCAGATCTCTCGGGACCACAGGCCGACGCTCTAACCGCTGAGCCAAACTGACCAGGGCGGAGCCTGTCCTGTTTGATAGCTTTGTCCAAAGGACGGTCGGTATCGCTTCACTCATTGCAGAGTTGGTGCCCAGTGAAGAAGAATTTATCAAGTTTGTTTGTAATTTGATCTTCCTTTTTGAGCTCTTACTATTTTTAGAAAACGTGATATTCCTTTTAGATCAATGAGCCCTACACAGGTTCAGCGAGCGACACTAATCGGAATGACCAATCCGTGGGGAGCAGCGACCTCGCCTTCCCTGTCTGTCAGGCGCGGGTGTCGTGAGACACCTGTGAAAGCCACCCCCAGGTCTTCCTTAGTTGCCGGTCCTTCAGCTGGAAGGCCCTGTCCTTCCCTTGAAGTTACTGATACTCGTTCAGCACTTCTGCTTTCCGCCTTTCTCGTATTTCTCTGATAAACCCTCAAATTCACAAGCACAATTACAGCTGTGTTTCTAGTGTCATAACACAGGTGTGTCACCCAGGCTTTTCTGCCTTGCCATTGTGCGCACGGACTCCTTATCCTTCCCTTTAATGCCCCGGGGTTGGCAAAACGGTCGGACAGGTGAGACTGGATCTCGAGACCTGCCGCACAGAAGCGTCGCCTGGTCCTTGCCAGCTTCAGCTTCCAGTTGGCCGCTCCTTGGATGAGTCACCTGACGGGAGCTTCCCCCCCACAGCAGCCTGGCTCACGCTGACCCTCACCTGTGAGCCTCCTCACCCGAAGGGGGCGGCACAGCCTACGCCGAGGGACGAAGGACGTACCTTTCCCAGTTTTCACCTAGGTTGTCTCCATCTCGTGAAAAAGGTCTCTGTGGCCCATGGCTATGCTCAGCAGCCAAGTGACTCATTCCCTTCTGCCTCCCAGGGCAAGTGATTCAATTTCTTGCTAGTATTTCTGCATGTTTGGGACCTATTGGGTAATTCATGAAGAATCCAAACCATGAGACTGTGTCAGTGAAGACCAAAGGTCATTTTTATGTTATTTCTTTAACCTCAAATTAATTGCATGCTTCTTCAGGATCCAATCACATCGTGTGTGTGTGTGTGTGTGTGTGTGTGTGTGTACTTTTATGTGTCCCACACAATGCCTTGCACATGTGAGATAATAAATATTTTGATTAAATGGGTTAGACAGCAATGAAACAATGAGCGTATATGGTCAGAGCTATAGCAGTTCAGGAAGAGGAGAGTGGACTAAAGCCGGAACGGGAAGGTCATCACCAACCGCTAACTGGTTATATCCAGAGAGACCCGGGTTCGGTTCCCGCTAAGGGCACGTATCTCGGTTGCAGTTTGTCCCCGGCCCTGGTTGGTCGTGCGGGTGGCAGCCACTCGATGTGTCCCTTTCACGTCGATGTTTCTCTCTCTCTCTCTTCCTCTCTCTCCCTCCCGCTCTATCTGAACAAAAAATGGAAAAAAAGTGTCCTCAGGTGAGGATAAAGAAAAAAAAAGAAACATAGATGAGAGAGAACATTGACTAGTTTCAGGAGCAATGTGGAATGATCTGTGTTTGTCTCATTTATTTGTCCAGAAATTACTTACAAACATTTCCCTGTGTCAGCCACATGCCAGGCATTGAACTGGGTAGGTATTAGGCGACAGTGATGAACACGACAGGTAGACGTCTCTGTCCTCCTGAGTCTTACAAACACGCTGGTGTAAACATAACTGCAGATGGTAGGTGCTGGGGCAGAGGCCATGTGTGGGCATACGGGCAGGGTCTTTTATTTTAAAAAATTGTTTTTTCTTTACTGATTATTTTTAGAGAGAGAAGAAGGGGGAAGGAGAGAGAGATAGAAACATGGATGAGCCCTGGCCGGTTTGGCTCAGTGGCTGGAGCGTCAGCCTGCGGTCCAGAGAGACCCGGGTTCGGTTCCCGCTAAGGGCACGTATCTCGGTTGCAGTTTGTCCCCGGCCCTGGTTGGTCGTGCGGGTGGCAGCCACTCGATGTGTCCCTTTCACGTCGATGTTTCTCTCTCTCTGTCTTCCTCTCTCTCCCTCCCGCTCTATCTGAACAAAAAATGGAAAAAAAGTGTCCTCAGGTGAGGATAAAGAAAAAAAAAGAACATGGATGAGAGAGAACATCGACTGGCCGCCTCCTGCATGCCCCCCACTGGGGATCGGGCCCACAACCTGGGCATGTGCCCTGACCGGGAATCGAACTGGTGACCTCTCGGTGCAGGGTCGACGCTCGACCATGGAGTCACGCCGGCGGGCTACAGGCAGGATCTCTTAGACCAGAATCAGCAGGGGCTCTGAAACCTGCCGTGGTCAGAGCATAAACGCGGGCAGGGGGAACCACCTCTGGGAGGCCAGCCATGCAAGCAGAGGCACCTGTGAGGGTGCTGAGGCGCCCACCCGAGTTTGGAGTTTGAGCTTCGGCTGGAGCTGCGGCCTGGACTTGGTCTTTGATTTGGGCGGTGCTGCCCGGAGGTGCACCGAGCGAACTGTCACGCAGGCGGTTGCGTGTGGCCAGTGTCTGGGGCTCAGGCAGAGGGTCAGCGTTCGGCTGCCGTCCTAGGAAAACCGGTAATGTGGTCGGGAGACGCAGAGAGACCCGGGAGAGCCACGCAGGTGGAGATGGACACGCAGGTGGAGAAGGACACCGCCCAGTCGCGCCGAGATGCGGTGCAGTAAGGTCGGTGTGAACCAGAGCCCGCTGTCCTGGAAGCATCCGAGGAGCAGAGGCCCCTGCGCAGCGGGCAGTCAGATGGCTTCGGGACCTGGGCGCCAGCTGACTGTGTACCCCACAGGGTTTACCGTGTCTCCCTGCGGTGTCCTTAGGAGGGGGTAGGGTTGTGGCAGTTAATGTCTTCTGTGTTCCGGACTTTGCCAGTCTTTTATCTTTTCAAATACACTTCCCATTTATGTCTCTGTAAATTACCGTTAACTTACAGATGCAGAGTGCAAGCGCTGTTCTCAGTTATTTTCTCGGGGCTCCTGGTTTGTACCTGGGGAGATAGCTCTGCTGTCCGAGCAGGGCACGTGTGGGGGACTGGAGAGATTCCCCCCGATGGGCGCGGGGAGTGTGTGTGCGGAGGTGCTGGAGCCTCTACCCAGCTCTCCTTCCAGGATCCCGCTCCTGGCATCGGGCTCCCTCCTCCGATCGCTTGTGCAAGACAAAATCTGGGCCAGCCCAGTGCGTCTGGTCTCACATCACCTCCGTCCCTGGACAGGGGGCACTGGGCGCTCCGTCAGGTCGCATCGCAGTTGAGGGTTGAACTGCCCTTTTGTTTCGAGGTAAGAAAGTTGTGTTCCTCTCAGTGAAGCGGAATGTTTACTTTCTCCATTTCAGCACTTTAAAGACCAAGTGCTATATTTTTAAAACTTGCCTAATGTTATGATTCTTTCTAAGAGGCCAATCTATGTTTTTAGCTTCATTCGAAATTTCCTCTGGAAGATAGGTTGTCCTGGAAAATACGATAGACTCTGGGCGATTTGCCTGTCCTCGGGGACCCTCAACAGGACCACAAGTTAAGGAGCTCGTGAGTTAAGCCAGCTGCCTGGAAGGAGCCGCAGCCTGAATTTGCATAATGTGTGTGTGTCGGTCACGTTGCATCTCCCTTGTTGCTGGCTTCTCAGTTCCAGCCACAGTGTCATCACCACAACCTACAAACGCATCCAGAAGCTTCCCGCTGGCTTTGGGGTGAGCCTGCCCCAGCCTGCATCCCGTGCTTGCTAAAGTGGACTTCCAGAATTCTGAATGCCCCAAACAGCAGACACTTAACCCAGTTCAGAAATACCTGCATGATGTAACATTATGTAGCTATTTACAAAGCCACACCAAGGAATGACATTGGAAACTATTTAATAAAAATGCTGGGTAATATTTATTGGTTGTATGTTATATGCTGGACGCTTATAACAACAGGTTTTATCCTCTGAAATTAAGTACGTACCATTATTTCCCCAAGTTCATGTAAGAGGAGTAACCACTAGGCACACTGTCTCTGTACCATGTATGATAATCTGCTTTTAATCTAACAAAACTGTGTGCATAAGGTAGCGATCGCAGCGTGCTTTTTAAAACTATTCACACATATGCCTGTGTAAGCCCAGGCTTCCCCAGACCATCGGATTATGGGTGATTTTTTTTTCTTTCCTTTTTGTGCTTTCCAATTTTTCTATAATGTAGAGGGATAACTTTTACACATAGTAGAGAAAAAATAAGTAAATTTGTTTAGCACTAGATATGTTTAAACAAAGGAGGAGGAGAGACAGGTGTCAAAGCAAAATAATTATCCACCTCCTCAAGTGTCACGTGCCGCTACATCTTCCACTATTGGGACAAATTAGGACGAGACGACAATCAGTTGTGCAAGCCAGAGTGTTTTCTTAGTTATTGGACACTCAGGCGCTTAGCTCAAGGGCAGGTGAATTTAATCTAAGGTAATAATGAAGCTCGAGTTAAGAAGGTTCTGGCCCACTACAAGTGTACTTAGGATGACACAACCAAGAACTCTCCATTTACTTGCCTTGGCAGTGTCCTTGGCTGGGCCTCCATGTGAGCCCCTCCCTGCATTGGGACCATCCTTGGTTTTACCAGTTAAAGCAGCGAAGAGCACGGAAATGCTTGGATTGCACAAGAAGCTCTTTCCGCCCCTCCCCTGTAGCCGTGAACCCCTTCCTCTTTGCTTCTGTCCCCTGTCAAGGACACATTCCCATGGCAGGTTTTGAGCAAGTCAGTCTTCTGTCCAGAAGGTAGTTTCTGCAAGAAGCAGGGGACACGCCTACCTGTCCACGAGGCTGTGTCTTCTCTGTACTTGGCAGGTTGACAGGGTACTTTTCAAAGATGAATTATCATCTAAGGCACAGGGGGTGTGTTCACACTCAGACCTAAGAAGTCAAAGGGATGGGACTAAAACAATAGATTAGATAGAGATTGAGAACAGCAATTTTGACAGCTTTATGGAATAGCAAAAGAGATGGTCACCAGAGGATTAGCCATATCTGCCTAATGCTTTTACTGCCATCTGAATGACCGGGGAAAGAACCCCTCACCACTGGAGAAGGTTTCTACTGCTCTTTCAAGAAGCATTTGAATACAAAGGAGTAGATTGTTTCCATCCACGTTGTGGACGAGTTATACTCACAAGTTGTCATCCGTGACTTCTGGAGTAACCTATGTGGTCTAGAAACTGGCTGCTTCCTTGATCTCATTTGTTTGGATAAAAAAATATTTATTTTTTTCATGTCTGTGTATCTGTCTGTGTTTTGAACAGCATCCTGGTGGGGAAGAAGTTTTACGGGAACAAGCTGGTGGAGATGCTACAGAAAACTTTGAGGATGTCGGGCATTCGTCGGATGCTAGAGAACTCTCCAAAACATATATCATCGGAGAGCTGCATCCAGTAAGTGCCTTTTGGGGGCCTTTGCTTCTTTCTCTGTAAGGTTTTGGGTTGACCTTACTCAAATCTGTAGACTTGCAAATTAAAAAAAATTTTTTTTCTTTATTAATTTTTAGAAAGAGAGGAAGGGAGAGGGAGAGAGAGGTAGAAACATTGATGAGAGAGAACATGGATTGGCCGCCTCCTGCATGCCCCCCACTGGGGATTGGGCCCACAACCTGGACATGTGCCCTGACCGGGAATCGAACCGGTGACCTCTTGGTGCCTGGGTCAATGCTCAACCACTGAGCCACTCTGGGCGGGCTAGCCATGCAAATTTAAAGAGGAGTAAAGTAGGACAATTCCTCCTGATTTTACAACACCATTTTTGTCAGAAACAAATTGCCCAGAAATATCCTTGCATTTCCCTGGTCGCATCTTCCACCAGCATGTCGAGTCAGAACCCTGTAACCCCAAGGCCGAGCGCTGGGGACAGTGTGTCTCAGACTTGAAGTATCAGCAAATAGCAAATTTTAGAAGGTGGGGGGTATAAACCCAGTATAATTTTTTTTATTGATTTCTTTTTTTTTTGTCCTCACCCGAGGATATTTTTCCATTTTTTGTACAGATAGAGTGGGAGGGAGAGAGAGGAAGGGAGAGAGAGAGAGAAACATGGACGTGAAGGGACACATCGAGTGGCTGCCACCCGCACGACCAACCAGGGCCGGGGACAAACTGCAACCGAAGTACGTGCCCTTAGCGGGAACCGAACCCGGGTCTCTCCGGACCACAGGCCGACGCTCTAACCGCTGAGCCAAACTGGCCAGGGCTTGATTTCTTTTTTGACCAAGACATTTTCTAAGAGCCTCCCTTCTGTTTTCATTAGTTTGAGACTCTTTTAGTCTGAAATATGATTTTAATTACGAAAAATAAGCTGTGTGAAATGAGTAGGTTCTGCCTTCAGTAGAACTTCACTGCAGACTTTCGGGACGCCCTCCCCGGTCCGGGCCTTGAGCAAACACTGGCCTGCGTTGGCCTCAATCGCAGGCCGGGGCCGTGAGACGAGCTCAGGCCCTTCTGTGGCTCCTTCTGTGGCTCGTAGTGACCGTGGTCGGCGTCCGCTAGTCTGAACGGAAGGATCAGGGAGACAGCTGCAGGCTTGGAGGGGCGGCGGGGCTGTGTGGCCCCGTGAGCAGTGGGCTCCTTGTGTGCGGGGTGTGAGCAGAGGGGTGGGGACGATGGTCTTCAGCGAAGCCTGCAGGTGGGGACCATTTTAGGGCGTGTCCACATTTCCACTGAGTGGAGCATGGGACGGTGGAGATGGTACTTTAAGAAAAGAAACTTCTTTTATCTGGAGAGTCTTTACCCACAGACTTGCATCCTCATCCTTCACCGAAGGGGACTGGTTTGACGGTGATTGGGGTCCTGCCCTGAGACATTCCTCCCGTCCGTCCTCTTCCTCCAGAGCTTACAAGCGTAGAACGGTGGCTTTTTAGGCTGTGGCAACAGCGTTATGTCTCTTCTGCCTACTGGGCTCACCTGTGTCAGCTATAGACGCACTGTATTTTGGACTGACTCAGCCAGAGGTTTAAGTCGATTATAACCCTGCAACTGGGAAATTGCAGGAATTCACTGAGGACATCACACATTGTACACACACTCAGATACATACATACATAGTGTATACATAATGCATATACACATGTGCACACACACATGTGCACACACACACAAATCATATACACACATACATACACACATGTACACATGTATACACACAAATCATACACATATACACAATGCATATACACACATACATGCACATATGTATATACACAAATCATACACATATACGCATATACACATGCATACATGCACACATGTACATGCATGCATATGTACACCAATCATATACACACACGTATATACACAAATCATATACACATATATGTACACACACATACACAATGTATATACACATGCACATATATACATAAATCACACACATGTACACAATGTATATACGCACATACACAATGCATATACACATACACACATTTGAGAAGATGGACAGGAAGAATCCGATTGCTCAGCTGCTCCCTGAAGTGAAGATCAGAATCTGAGTCTAGGAAATACACAGTCATCCACATAAATATGACTGTCACGGATGCTGTTCTAAACCTGGAAGTCTGGATCAAATACCCCTCAGCACTCGGTCTGCTAACAGCCTTTGCAGTCAAGTCCGCGGGATCAGACTTTGTCTCTAACAGCCTAGACCGAGGAACCTGAAATGGTGATCACTGCACAGTGATGTGTTTTAGAAATCTCAGTAAAATGAGCACTTTGGAAATGGTGCTTTTGTGGGCGTTTTCCATTCTGAAACGTGCCTTGTTTTCATTGCAGGATGACAGATCAAAGATATCCAAGCCTCCGGTAAGTGTGACCACGCCAGGTCTCTCAGTGGCCGTTGTTAGCACCCCTGTGTCTCGTCCATGCAAACTGGAGGGCGAAGGCCTTTTGCTGACCTGACTGAGGCCGCACAGGGGTGTGCTTCTAGGTTAGATGAACGTGAAACCTGTAGGGTTGGCTCAGCAAACTTGTCTGTTTGTGTAGACCAGCCATTATGTTTCATTAGGAGAATTGTGTGTTCTCTTCACAAGACCCTCAGGGCTTTAAGTAATTTTTCCATCATGATTATCAGTGGATGTCTTTTGAAGAGCTAACTACTTTCTGTAACCAGAAAGATTTGACTCAGCCCCGTTTTCAGAGAATGTAAAGTCGGATGGACCAGAGGTCCTAGTTCTTAACCCTTTGAGGGCACCAACCATGTCTTCATCTCCACATCCTGGGACACAGTAGATGCTCAGTAAATACTTACTGGATAAACTTAATATTATTTAAATTAAATAATAACTTTCTGGTGCATGTTTCCTTAGGAAAGGGAGCTATTTCTAGGAATAATGATTTTGTGCCTGGTTCTCCAGCCCTTCTCTCTGAGCTGACCATTTCGCTCACATTTGAAGATAAATCCATAGTGACAATTGGGGACAGCAGCCCAAGTCCCTGAAAAGTGCAAGTAGGAAAAATAGTTCTGGGCCTGTAATCCAGGATTGTGGAGGAAGTTTTGCTGAGAACAAATGACAGAAAGTGTAATTTTTTCTGTTCTGGTCTATGCTCTTGGTTTCATTGGAGAGAAGACAGCATAGGGCTCTGGTGGACTCATCTACCCGCTGCTGCTGACAAGACATTGTCTCAAAGTAATTACAAGAAAACCAAGCAGTTAATCTGGGATCCAGGGAAGGTGAAGACAGTGACGCTCAGACCTTGTCCCAAGCGTTGACCTTGTTCAAGGTCACACTGCAGCACCATGGCCAGCACCCATCTCAGGCCTGGCAGCTGCCGTCTCTCAAGTTTATGTAGGCTCTAGACTTGGCAGGAAAGGCATCAGTCTGTCAATGGTATTTTTAGGAAAGAGTTCCAACTAAGGAATGGGCTAAGGTAGGTGAACTTCCAAATGAGACGGCTTCGATCCGCACAGGCTCAGTGGGCTTTGCACGCCTTTATAGAGAGATCGTAGTGCACTGTTTTCATTGTCAACCTCCTGGAAATGGAACCCCTCAACGTCACAGAGGGAACAGGTGGCAGAGGCGGTAGCCAAAACCATTGTCTTTTCTCCGTTTGCTGTTGACATATTGGTTAGTTACAGGCCCAAAGCCCAACTTAGCCCCGTCAGAGCACTGGACAGGAAAAGCTGTCTCCTTGCTCATCTACGGGCAAATTGGCAATTGACACCTCCTTTCACGCTCAAGCACCCTGGGTGGGTTAAGAGCCTAACAGATAACAAGCCATCAAAATCCTATATGGTCTTTGAGTTCAGCTCTTTACAAGTGCACTGTTGCTGCTGGAGGTGATGGCGCCCAGGCGGTGCGGGGGAGGAGGGCCCCCAGCCGAGTGCCTGTACCAGAGTGGCGGTGTGCGCTTGCCTGCTGTGCGCCATTCAGGCCTAACTTGCTGGGGTGACAATAATATTTTCCCTTCAATGAACTGTTGTGTTTCAGAGCTGATTATGTCTCTCTCTCTTTTTTTTTTTTTTGTTACGTGCCCCTAGTGGGAACTGAACCCAGGACTCTCTGGTCCGTAGGCCGATGCTCCAACCACTGAGCCAAACTGGCCAGGGCTGTCTTTTTTTTCTAATAGCCAAATAATAGTTTTGCATATTCTGTTCCTTCTAAGCATCTTTGTTAACTTTATTTCTAATAGCCAAAATTTGAAACAGCACCTTTTGTAGTCTCTAGGATTGCCCATTGCTCAAAAAGATAGTACATGTAAAGTGTTCTTTTTCAATGACTTATTTCCCCCCTCCCATGTCAGGAATCCTAACGGCCACGTTCCCAGGTTGGTGCGCCTCGAACTGCTCTGCTTGCTGGTCCCTAACAGGTCTCCGCCCTTTGAGGGGCCTCAGTCAACTGCTGTGTGAGCTTCGCCTCAGCGCAGACCCTGCTGCGTGTTTTGCTAACGGGGTTTTGTCCTGTGCTTTGGGGCGCTGCAGAGATGAGCCGCTGCTGCCCGCTCTGTGGCTTCCTTCCTGTGCGGCACTAACGCTTCTGCTGGTGTGGATTTCAGGAAAGTGCTTAACCCTCTGCAAGCCCGGAGCAGGCTCTGCCTCCCCACGGCTGCAGTCGCTGGCTGTGTGGGGCGGGGTGCATCTTCCAGCCCTCCGAGGTCACTGCCCGTGCTGGCCACTCTCGGAAGCTGCTGGGGGCTTGACAGGCTGGACCTGTGAAAGACCCCAGCACCCAGCGCATCCTTTTCTGGAGGTGTCTTGGTGGGTGACAGTGTGAAGTCAGTCCCCAAGGCCTCCGGTGTCTTTCTAGAACTGCCTTGTCAGAGTTACAGATAAGATTGGCAGTTCTTAATTTATTTTTCTTTTTGGTTGACACGTCTTTTAATGTAATTTGGTGACACTTATTACTTCATTTAAGATTTGGATGAAATAAGTGTTTTTGTGGAACGTTTTATTTCTGGTTTTGAAGAATTAAACTCTCTCCTGAAGGTAATATGTGTGTGTGAATTGTGTCTGCTGTCCTTGTCTATGTTCAAGTATTTCAATATCTGTTGAGTGTAGGATATCTTAGGTAGCCTGTTAATTGTTAACATTTTCTTTCAAATTCTCTAGGTTATTTCGTAAGTAATTTAAATACAGAGCATTCTTAAATTTTTTTTCTTCTGAAAAAACGTGAAATTAGGCATTTTAGTGAAAAGAAGTATATGGTGTAATTTTTCCTTTCAATGTCTTTTTGAAGAAGACAGTGAATGAAATACCATGATGCTATTTTAAAACAGGTTTTCAGTCGGCTGTTCTCTTTAACTTATTTTACTCTCTCTCTCTCTCCCATCTCAGGAAACTCTCATTACCACGGTTGACTCAGATTCGAGGTATGTGGTATTTTCACAGTGTTTTTGTGATCAGAAGGCTCTTAGTGTCAGAGTTGGACTAGAGGCCTGTCCCCACCCCAGAGCCTCTTCTGCTGCCTGGGCTCCCTCAGAGCCCCCTTCAGTGGCCACGCAGGGGTCACCTGCACGCGATGCCCAGACGGCTCAGGGCATTCTCCCCTAGACGGTACACAGCTCAGACTGGGGACATGTTCAGAATGAGCCCGATTCCGCCCTCCAGCTGCCCCGGCCGAGGGAACAGAGAGAACAGATTCGTCTCCTTTCCCCAGGGCTGCCCGACCCTTTCGTCTCTGGACAAACGTCATTTCCGTCCCTGTTTCACCTGGGGTCAGTCCCTGACGCTGTGGCGATTCCATCTCTCTAAGCACGGTTCAGGTCTCTGTGGGCCCTGAAGCTGACCCCCCGAGCCAGGTGCCCTGGTCCCTCGTCTGTGGACTACATGTCTTCATCTGAGTCCGAGATCGTAGGAATGTTTTGGGCAGCTCTGTTACATTCACTTCTGTAATTGCATCATACATATGTATCCAGGACCCCCCAGCTCCAAACCCCAGATTGACACCTATTTTGTTCCGCCCTGTCCAAGTCCACTGCTCTGTCTGTGGGTGTTCCGGCACCTTCCCTGCCCCCGGCAGTACCCCGCCTTAGTCTTCGCGGTCATGTCGCTCCCTCTGAACAGGAAGCTGAAACCCCCCAAAATGAAAATTACACTTAATCCTTCTAATCCTTTTGCGATGAAATCTCTGTGTGGAACTGGATCTTTGAATGGGTTGATGTGTGCAGAGGATGGAAGCACGGACCGCGAATGGCAAACACTGGGTACGCACACAGGTGTTGTCTGGCTTTATTCAGACTCTGAAACCTGCATGTTAATTTCAGTTTCCTAAGAAATGGTAGATTCAGATCTCAGATCTACGTAGCTCTGTCCCTGATTTGATCCGTAATCTGTCATGTATGGTAGATCCAAAACTCTGGGCCTCAGACTGAACACTGCCAGTTGGGGTCTTTGTGAACTTACACCTGTGGGAGCAGAGCAGGTGTTTACAACACGTGCGTAAAGATGAGGCTGGTCCTCTCCCCGAAACATAGTCACAGGTGGCAGAGCGGTGGTGCCGGCAGCAGCCTCAGTCACTATCCTGTTCGAACCCTTGCCTTTCTCCCCAGCTCAGGGCACGGGCTTCGCCCTTGGCTGTAGCACGTGCCGATGGCTCACCCACGAAGAGAACGTTGCTCTTCTGGTTCTCAACTCCGTGCTGTTATAAATTCTGTGTTTTTTAAAAAAATTCTCACCCAAGGTTATTTTTCCATTGATTTTCAGATAGAGTAGGAGGGAGGGAGGGAGGGAGAGAGAAAGAGAAACATCGATGTGAAAGAGACCCGTCGATTGGTTGCCTCCCTCGTAACAAGGACCGGGAATGGCACCTGAGACTCTAGTCTGGGTCCAGTGCTCCAGCAGCTGAGCCAAACCTGCCAGGGCATTAAATTCTTAATGACTTATGAAACTAGAATAAAGCCTGTAGGAACATTTCCTTTGGGAGCTTGTGGCCTAACCCAGAGTTGATGTCCTTTATTTATTTATTTTTAAAAAATTATTTTCCTTTATTGATTTTAGAGAGGGAGAGAGAGAAACATCGATGAGAGAGAACATCCATCGGCCGCCACCTGCATGCCCCCCACTGGGGATTGGGCCCACAATCTGGGCATGTGTCCTGACCGGGAATAGAACCGGCGACCTCTTGGTACATGGGTTGATGCTCAACCGCTGAGCCACACTGGCAGACTGATGTCTTTTAATTTATTTTATTTTTTATCCTTATCTGAGGACATTTTTCCATTTTTTTCCATTTTTTGTTCAGATAGAGTGGGAGGGAGAGAGAGAGAAACATCGACGTGAAAGGGACACATCGAGTGGCTGCCACCCGCACGACCAACCAGGGCCGGGGACAAACTGCCACCGAGGCACGCGCCCTCAGCGGGAACTGAACCCGGGTCTCTCTGGACCACAGGCCGACGCTCCAACCGCTGAGCCAAAGCGGCCAGGGCCAGACTGATGTCCTTTAGATAAGTCACTAGTTCTCGGCAGTAGCATCCTTTGGAGCAGTGATTCGTAGCTGTTCGTATAAGTTTATAGAAATAGTTCTAAGTGGAACTGTGGTGGGGGAGGGGCCATCAGTTTTCTTGTGAGTCTAGAACAATAGAGGAATTGCCAGGATACCAGCTTGCGTCACTTGGCAACTCGGAGTGGTCTTTCGCTGGAGGGGTGAGAGGTGCTGTCCGTGGTGACTAGAAGGCGCAGACTTCGAGCTGCCTGCACCAAACTCCCTGAAGCATCACTGCTGTTTCTCTCCAGCTGGTGGACCAACTGGATTATCCCAGCCATCTCTGCCCTGGCCGTGGCCCTGATGTACCACTTCTACATGGCGGAAGACTGACCACCTCCCTGGAGCCAGTGGAAGAAAGGACCGCTGTCGGCTGGGCAGAAAGAAGCCAGTGTCCATTGTTTCATTGGACAGAAACCTTCATTTGAAAAGTAACTTTAACCCACCCGTTCCCCTTCCTCCTAGGTTAGAAACGAACCCAACCAAGAACCGCTCTGTCCTGCCCACTCTCGAACTCCCGCAGTGTGCCTTTCTCCTCACCCGCTCGCGTCCAGCATCCCCTGGCGCCATGATCTACTTATTGTGGGTGTGATCTTTCAAAAATACACCTGGCTTTTCAAATACACCCCTCTGTGTGCCTGTCGATTTGGGACGTAATTGTCTGTAATGTTTCAAATCTCAGATTGCTGAGCGAAGTCACGCAGGCGCACGTGGTCTGTGCGCGGTGAGGACCGGATGGCCAGGTCCGCAGCTTGGTATTGAGTGTTTCCCGTGTAGTTTCTTTCTCAAGAGAAATTTAAAAAGGCCCTGGAAACGATAGCATAAAGATTTCTAAAAAGTATTCTACCTGAAATAGATCATCAAAAGCACCTATAGCACCCAGAAAGGAGACTGCTTCTCCTCTCTGATTAAAAAACCCAGCAACAAACCCGTGAACCATGAGAGGACACAGCTGTCCCTTCTCTTGGCTCCGCAATGTCTTTCCCAAGTTTTCGGTTATATAGGTTCACTTAAAAAACTCCTCATTCGGTGGTGAAAGCTGTTCATGTGTTCTTGCAAGGAAGTGTCGCTTTCCTAATCCATAAACACACAGCCTTGACAGATTGTGGGGCGCCTGGAGTCGTACTTGAAGGCTCTGAGCTGTGGGGACGAGCCCTGGGGGATTCTGGACGGGTCACACATCTTTGATTATCTTTGATTATTTTCCCGGCCCCGTGTCTTGTCCTTCAAAGCGGAAGCTGGGGATGAATCTAGACCTGAGTGTTGGCCTTACCCAGGACTGCAGGTTTCCCGGGCATGTCAGCTGACTGCAGGTGGGGTTCTTCAGAAACCACCAGGGGAAAGGAAGTTTTGTATTATGCCAGAGTGTCCATTTTTATAACCCCTGACATGTATCGCCTTTGCCCGTTTTGTCACTGAAAAGTTAAAGCGACCGGGGGGTGGACGGGCACTGTATCACGTGGGAATTCCTTAATCAGATTTCAATAAACGCATATCTGAACAAGAATCGTGCCTCCTGTGATGACCCTCGGTGCTGACACGCACCTGAGTGCGGGACACCCGCGACACCGGAGTTCGTGCGTGGGCTCTGGTCTGCATGCGCCGCTGGGGCTGAATCCCGGCAGCTCGGAAGCGAGCTGGAGGTGACCGTTAGGACCTCGGTTCGCTGTGTGACGCTCCCGTGGAGAGGAGCGTCAGTCCCTCGGCGTTTCCTCTGGGAATGGACAGCGGCTGGCTGACTGCTCAGGATGCATTTTTCAGCATCATTATGGAGGGTGTGTGTGCAGATGGAGCAGTAAAGCCAAAGGGGCTGAAGCAAGGAGTGAGGGCTGCTGCCGGGCTCTCTGTAACCGCAGGACACTCCCGCGAACCCACGAACCCACGTCCCCGGAGACCGCGTGACGTCACCATGGGGACAGGGAAGCGGATGGGGCGCTGAGAAAGGTTTTCCTGAGTATGTTCTCATTGTAAAATTATGCTAGGTGAGGTATTTCTTCTTTTGGGTAGTTTACCATTTATTTATAACCAGAAGTTTAGCTGTGGCTTCGCTTTAGTTCTCCCAAGTATATACTCAAGCACGTCATTAATACTGGAGGTTATAATGGTAATTTAATTGTTCATCTAATACTGTCACTCTCCGTGTTAATGAAAATTTAGGTGAACACAGTCCTAGGCACTGTAATTACAGTTTATGTGGTTATCGTCTTGATATGTAATGTCACCATCACTTTTATTAATTGGCTCTTTTGAGCACGTCCTGGGTGCCAGGCACTGTCCGAGTGATCGACACAAATCCTATCTTCTGTCTTCGAAATGACTGCCGAGCTCTCGTTTCGCAGTGTAGAGCTAGGATCGCAGCCCAGGTCTGCGCGGTCCCAAGCGCAGGCCCTTTGACCGCAAGAACCGCTGCGGGTCTACAAGCGTGTTGAGGGGCGTCTGCTCCGAAGGGCGCGGCCGGCTCCGGAGCGCCTGTGTCGTCAGGGAGGGGAGAGCCTGCACACACCTCGAGGGGCGCACCAGGAGGTGCAGAGCAGGCCCCGGACGCTGCAGCCCCAGAGGTGTGGCGCTGAGGGCAAGTAGCCTCCTGACCCTCTCCCTGCGGACGGACCCTCGGCTGCTTCCAAGTCTCTGCTACTGTGAATGACGCTGCCATGGACACAAGGGTGAACATTCCTTTCGGATTCGTGTTTCTGGTTTCTCTGGATAAATTCCCAGAAGTGGAATCGCTAGGTCCTAAGGCAGTTTCATTTTTAACTTTTTGAGTAAACTCCATACTGGTTTTTTTAATCCTCACCCAATGATATTTTCCCATTTATCTTCAGATAGAGTGGGAGGACAGGAGGGAGGAAGGGAGAGAAACATCCGTGGGAACACATCGATGGGCTGCATCCCACACGACCCCAACCGGGGCCGGGGACAAGCTGCAACCGAGGTACATGCCCTTGACTGGAATTGAACCCAAGACTCTGGTTTGTGGGCCGGCGCTCTAACCACTGGGCAACACTGGCCAGGGCGGACACTCCATACTGTTTTCCACAGTGGCTGCACCAGTCTGCATTCCCACCAATGGTGCATGAGGGTTCCCTTTTGTCCACATCTTGCCAACTCTTGTTTGTGGAGTTACTGATGACAGCCATTCTGATAGGTGTGAGGCGATCGCTCACTGTGGTTTTATTTTTATTTTTCTCAATTTTTATTAATTTTTGTTACAGATATTTCTCCCCCCCCCCCATAGACCCTCCTCTTTCCCATCCTGCCTCCCCACCCCCCTAGCATTGTTGTCTATGTCCCTTGGTTATGCATACATGCATATAAGTTCTTTGGTTCATCTCATCCCCCCTCCCCCCTCCTGTGAGGTTGGTCAGTCTGAACCATACTCCTTTCTATGTCTCTGGGTCTGTTTTGTTCATCAGCCCACCTTGTTCATTATGTTCACAAAGAAGTGGGATCACGTGGTATCGTGTACTTGTCTGTCTTCACTGTGGTTTTAATGTGCATCTCTCTGACGATTAGTGTCGGACAAAGTTTGGTTGGGAATATTGGGTCTGTGAAGCTCTCCCTTAGGGAGCCACTTCTCCACTCCAGGTGCTGTACCCTGGGGTAGGGCTCCAGGCTGGTCTCTTCCCACATGTGTCCCTGGTGCGGGCAGTGGGGCCGGGGAGAGCTCAGGCATCACACGTACTTGGTGGTGGCGGTGATGACTCTCCTTTAGTGCTGTCCCTTCCGCAGCTTTGCTGTCTTGAAAAGTGCCTCCCTCCTGAGGACAGCCCTGGAAGCCGACGGTCAGACAGGTAATAGAACGAATTTCTTTCTCCTCGTGTGTGTGATGTGGGTCCACAGACCATCAGAGTTTACGGAGAAGTGTGACGGTGACAGAGACTTCCGGCCGTGACGGTCCGTTTCCTTGGGGGGAGAGATGGAAGCGGGGTGAGGACAGAGGACGCTGTGGGGTCTCTGTCTGCCGGGCGAGCGCGGCCCGTCTAACGGACCATGACGAGGTCTCTAAACTGCACCGAGTTGAGATGTTTCCACTGTCTTTTAGAATGTCGCCATTTAAAGGACGCCACCGTGATGCCCTTTGCAGATTTTTACAGTCGTGGTGAAAAATCGTAAAGGACACGTGAAGTTTTTGTGTCAATTCTCTTAGGTGTGACCTACACAAGTGCGTGAAGACCTAGGTCTGGGACGTGTCCCCCCTCCCGTACCCCCCCACTGCACCCGTTCTCATGTCCACGGTTTCGAAAACATGAATTTTGAATCGTGAGGCACATGTTGAGGGAAGTGCATGCAGCATGCTTGATTTTAACCTCAGGCTGCCCGATTGTTCCTGTTTCTTTCGAATACTCACTGGTCGGGCAGCAGCACGGCCTGGCTCCCGGGGGCACCGAGGCTCTGAGTGGAACTGCACTGAGCTGCACTGCGTCTTCCACGGCTCACGAGTCTGTGGCTGGTTCTGAAAGGCCCTCCTGCCCCTGGGCTGCAGACAGTCTTGTTTGGCGGTGCAGCAGGCGTCTCTGACACTATGAAGCAGGGGGACGATGGGGGCACCCGCTCTTCCAGGGGATATCTGCCATGCTAAGTCTAGGTCGCGATCCGGGAGAGAGGAGGCTTATCCTGGGCCTCAGGTGGAGACCAGCTGCCTGACGTGGAGTACGTGCCTCTCCTTCCCGGGTCGCGCTTTCCAAAGTCATCACTCGTGAGCAGTGCTGCCCTGCCCCTGCCCGGGAGGGGCCCCCGCCCGTGTCGGAGGGGCCCACTCGGACCCCTGGCGGAGCCCCCTCCCTGCGGGGCCAGGGGTCTGGGGCCCGAGCAGACACACCTGCCTGATGCATCTCTCGGGGAAAGTCCTAGCCCCGCAGTCTTCTTTGCGGGGGTGGGGGGTGGGGGGTGCTGAAGGGGACCCAGCCTCCCTAAGGCTGGCCGGGCTGGTTCTCCTGGCACCACTTTGCCACAGATCTGAAAGGAATCTGAAAATCCTAAACTCAAGCCCAGCCTTTCAGGGCAGCTGTCAAGGTAGGATGACGTGTTTACTGAGCAGACTTGTTAGCAGGTTTATCACATTAAATACTCAGACCTACCTCGTGTGGCCGCCATCCGTCCCTGCCCCGCAGATGAGAGGGTTACGGAGGGACCGAGTGAGCTGAGCGGCAAGCCCGACCCCGGCCACGTGTGTGGGCGTCTGCACTTCCCCAGCTGGGTGCCTCAGGAGGCCGCGCTCAATCGCAAGAAGGTCTGTGTGCCTCAGATTTGAACAAAACGAAGTGTAGTTGTGATATTTACAGGTAATGTCATGTCTGGGTACAAAAGCTGAGGCTGGGCACCCAGTCTCCGCACGCCGTGCCTGCTCTCCTCCGACTACGTGGGTGTTCCCTCCATCGCCTTATCTGGGGGCGCCACTGGGTTTGGCCCCCATCAGGGAGGGGAGCTCTGGATAGTAGAGTTGCCCTTGAGAGGTGACGTCGACTCCCAGCTGTCAGCATCAGCCTTCCCATGGGTGACAAGGGACAGATGGGCCCTGCTGTCAGCATGGTCTCTGCCTCCGTGTCCCTGGGAGGAGGGGCATGCGGGTGGAGACAAATGGCACCCACCAGGCTGAACTTCCGTATCTGCCCTGGCAGGGGCTCCGAGGGGGCAGACCGTGGGAGGCAGCAGGACAGGAAGGTGTTTTATTATGTCAACCTCGGAAACCACAGAGTTAGGGCACAGGTGTTCCCATGGTGATGGGGGTGGTGGCAAGAGCGGGCTATCAGGAGACAGACTTTTCGATCAACCCATCAGATGTTCTGAGTGTTTGAGAGAGATCCCGGAATCACTGTGTAAATTCCGAAGCAGACATCACAGTCTTATTTCTTCCTGGTTGTCCAGCGTGAACATTTCCGTCAAGACAGGCAACAGATCCCAAGGTGTGGGTGGGGGCGATGCATCTCTCGGGGAAAGTCCTAGAAAACGGAGGCAGGGGCGCTGCTCTCCGGCTGCCCTCCGCTCACATCTCAGGCCCGGTGTCTCTCTGGTCCCCCTTCCTACGGGGCTGATGACACACGCAGCCCGAGTCAGGAAGGCCGTGTGGACCAGAGCCTGGGGGACATTTGCCGGCTCGAGGAGGGTGGGCGGGTGCGGCACTTCCTGCTTCCACAGGTGGTCTCCTGGCGTCTGGTGGCATTTGGAGTCTCTAGGACCAAGCTGACGTCTCAGGGGTTGGCCTAGAAACAGTTCTACATCCAGGGTGGGCTGTGGGGCCTTTAGCGTCTATTCCTGTTAAAGGAGCCACTGAAACAAAGGTGCTGGGTCTGCCCCTTCGCCGCCCCAGAACACCAACGTGAAACGTGCAACGGCCGCAATCCCACCTCCGGTCCAGGCCCTTTCAGAAGCCATCAAGACGGCATGTTGTCACTTTGAGATAAGAAAGCTGGATTTGTTTTCATGTTCTTGGAGCCGTGCGGGAACTCTGGAATAAACTATGCTTAGCGCCTCGTCCAATTCCTGGGACACAGCAGGTGTCTGTTGACT